CCCCTCTTCCCCACAGCAGCAGCCAGTGTCCGTCAGGCTGATAATCTGCCTTCTAAATAATTTTCCTAAATAAGTACTTATGAGCTGCTTATTTAGAGGGCTTTAAGGGGGGGGGGGGGAAGGGGGGTTTTAGGGGGGGGGGGGGAATGGATTAAAACAACTGTGGGTTTGAGGGGTTTTATGGGTTGTCTTTTTTGTTTTGCTCTTTTTGTTACCAACAAATTCCCCCGTGCGTGCAAAGCCCAAGAGCCAGCCACCTGAGCAGAGATGGCCCTCCTCCCCGCTCCCCCCGAGCCCTGTCTCCAGCCACAAGGATGAGAGAGAAGCTGACTCGAGATGGGAAACTCCATTCTTTATTCACCCTTCTGTACTTGGGGGTGACATCAGATCTCTCTGGGATGTAAATCTCTAGGCATGGGGGCTTGCCAAAGAGCAGAGTCTGAACGTGACCCTTACATTTCCTGGGCTTTTCTTAGCTTTGCTGCAGCCCTAGATGTTGCTTTAATGCAGTTTTCTGGTAGTTCAGTTTTGTCTTGTCTGGGTTGCCCTCCCCTTTCATTCCTCTGCTTTGCCACTATTGCTCTTATTATGGTTTTGCTTTTTCTATTTAATTTATTCTCTGCCTCTGACAGCATTCTCCCATCACGTCCTCCCCTTCTGGCATAAAAATTTGGTTTGATTGTAACAATAAATTGGCTTCTAACCCATTCGGGTTTCAAAAAATACAACTGGCATTTATTTAACTCTTTATATGGCAGGCTGGCAAAGCATTTTATGCTTGTTAGAGCACACCCTGCTCCTGGGAGATGAATTGAGTACATACACGCTGCATTGATGGGTGAGGCATGGATGGAGATGGCTAGTTTTTCAGAGCAGACTGTGCTGTGTACAATGCTTGGCACAGTGTAACTCTGGAAAGAAGATTAAGGAAACTAGTAGCCTCAGTTCCTGATTGGGCTCTCTAGACTGTGTTTTTAGTACAAATCAAGAATAACGGAGCTAAATAGTATTGAGCCTATTTTACCTG